CTAGAGTGAGAGGCTGGAGTGCAGTGATGCAATCACAGTTCACTGCAGCCTTTACCTCCCAGGCTCAAGCAATCCTCCTACCTCAGCCTCTAGAGTAACTAGGACTACAGGTGTGCACCGCCACACCTGGCTAATTTTATTAATTTTTGTAAAGACAAGGTCTCACTATGTTGCCCAGGCTGGTCTCAAACTCGGGCTCCAGCCTCAACCTCCCAAAGTGCTAGATTGCAGGTATGAGCCACCACGCCCAGCTGGACTATTTTTCAAGGATGCTAGAGATAGAATCTCCCTACAGGGAAGAGGGAAGCTTTGTTTGTGGTTCAAGATAATAAAGATAATGCTGTTCACTGGGGCAATGGTTGAGCAGGTTTGCTAGTAGCCTTGTTGAAAAGTTTAGGGTTTACTAATCTCTAATTCACTGCCTGTCTATGACCCATGGGACTTGTGGAGCAAGGGAGGGGGGCAACAAAAGCATGGCCTCATGCTGCCTGCTGTGTCATGAGTAACAAAGTCAGTGATTTCTGACCCAGAAGTTTCCTGTCTTCTGCCGGCATCTATAGAACAGTGGCAAGCTCACTTGTTAGTATATAAGTAAGGTAAAATCCCAAAGCCTTCGTTTTCTTAACACTAATACCAAATGTCAAAAGCATCAGTAATTTTCACTTTCTCATCTCCCATTGCACCTCAGCTTCCTGCAATTTGGCATCTGCCCAGTGCAATACTAAGCTGTTTTTGCCAGTGTCACTCAAGACTCATAACTGCCAGTTCAGTGGGTATTTGACTCCAGGTGAAACCTCCTAGAACCTCTGCAGCCCTTAACATGAGGGGCACATTCTCCTTCTGCAATGCCCCACTGGTAGCTCATGCAAGACCACACTTTGCTGTCTGTCCTTGTGGCACTCCTCCTTGGTCCCCTTCGTGAAGTCCTTTTCCCTTAGCAGCCCCATCCATGCCTTGCCAGCCTCTCTCATTGCTCCACCTGCCCTCCCTGAGTGATCTCACTCACACTGCTGGTTTTAGGAACCTTGTACATGGTCATGATGCCCTAATTCTGGCTCCAGTCCAGATATCTGACACAACTTACCAGCCACCTGCTGAGCAGCTCTACCTCAATCAAGTGGTCCAAAAAGGAATCCATCCTTCCCTGGCCTTCCCCATCACTATGTCCCATATTCTTCCTCCCACTGTTCCTCTCTGGCTCCAATCCTTCCTGCCTTGGGTGATCACAGTTTCCAGCTAACTGGGCTTGCTGCCTTCTCTTGGCCATGGCCCTTGTAAAGCCTCCACTTCACTGTTGCCAGAGTTATAAACCAAATCATGTCATTTCCCCACTTAAAACCCTTCACTTTCTTCTCAGAGCCTACCTGACAATTTTTAAAAATTTATTTATTTATTTTTGAGACAGTCTCGCTTTGTCACCCAGGCTGGAATGCAGTGGTACAGTCTTGGCTCACTGCAACCTCTGCCTCCCAGGTTCAAGCAATTATCCTGCCTCAGCCTCCCAAGTAGCTAGGATTACAGGTGTGTGCCACCACATCCAGCTAATTTTTGTATTTTTAGTAGAGGCGGGGTTTCATCATGTTAGCCAGGCTGGTCTCAAACTCCTGAACTCAAGTGATCCGCCTGCCTCGGCCTCCAAAAGTGCTGGTATTACAGGTGTGAGCCACCACACCCAGCCAAGGTTGTTTAATACATAGTTCAACATGCCCTCTAATGTTAACACCCACTCCTCGACTTCCCTCCATGAAGCACTCCTCCGATCTGTCTCCTATGGCCACTACCATTCAAAGTGGAAAAGAGGTGGGCAGGAGATGTCTCAAAATAACACTCATTATATGGCACTAACTGGTTATAATTATTATTACCTATAACCAGGAAGTCATAAAACATTGCATTAAACACCAGTTACATATGTTCCACCTGCCTCAAACCCATGTGTGTTCTTATTTTTGGTGTTGTTCTTATTCTGTCTGAGACAGCGTCTTACTCTGTCACCCAGGCTGGAGTGCAATAGAGCAATAATGGCTCACTGCAGCCTCAACCTCCTGGGCTCAGGTGATCCTCCCACCTCAGCCTCCAGAGTAGCTGGGACTACAGGCACACCATCTCAGTTAATTTTTAAAAATTTCTGTAGAGATGGGGTCTTGCTATGTTGTCCAGGCTGGTCTCAAATTCCTGGACTCAAGTAATCCGCTGGCCTGGGCCTCCCAAAGTGCTGGGATTACAGTGTTAAGCCACTTTGCCCAGCCTGTTTTTAGTTTTTCATTGAAAAAAAAAAAAAAGTCACACTTTGCATCAGGCGCCATATTTCCACCCAATTATTTGCTATCAAGCTTGTTCGCTCCTCAGGGTTTCCTTTAGAAACAAGCTGAGAGATTCCTTCATTTTACCCAATTAGGCTGCTGAATGACTAGGGTTTCTTGGTGATCTATGTATCTATATCTCTCTATTATCTATACCTATATCTACCTGTATGTGTGTATTATATATATGTACACATACATATTACACGTGTGTATATATATGCATACATATTATATGTGTATGTATATGTGCATACATACTTTTTCTTTAATTGCTCCTTCATCCTCTAAGCAAACAAACTAGCACCCCCAAGTGTCCGCCAGGAGGCGCAGGGGGCAGCGTGGGACCTGCGGTACCTCCACGGTTGTAGAGGTGTAGAGGGATGCAGTAGCGACGGAACCGGGCTTCTTTTTTTAAAGAATCAGTGTGAGGGAAGGGTGCAGAGCCGCGTTATTTCAGGGAGACCTTGTCGCACTGCCCCTGCCTCGTGTAGGTAGTATCTGGGGTGCGTGCGCCCGGTTCGCAGACCCCATGGAGGGACGCTACTGGCGGCAGATGGGGCTCTTTTCGCGGCTGCAGCCGGCAGTAACCCAACCCCTCCGGCGCAGAGACTGAATCAAGAAGCGCAGGGGACAGCGGCGAGCTGCGAACAAAAGCCCTTGGCGCGGGGCCGAAGCCCAGGACGTGGGGTGAGTGAACCAGCCGGGGTACCGGGAGCTGGGGGCACTGGCGCGGCCAGGTTCGTTGCGCTCCAGAAGCCCACCCACTGGAATGCTGTTGGGGAACTCGGAGGGCGGGTATCTGAACCAAGACTGGGGTGGATAGTATCTTTAGCACATTCAGACTTGGAGGAGATGGGGTGCATCTGAGAGCATCCAGGCGCCTTCTCCATCCCCAGCAAACACGCCGTGGGGGCGGAGGTTGGGGCAGAGGAGGCATGCAGAGCCCTCAGCAACCCCTGAGCGAGCTGCAGGAGAAAGAATCCATCACCCCTCCCGGAGAGGCCTTGGGGATTTCTCCCAGCCCTTCAATCACCCGGGGGCCCTGCGCCGGAGTCTCCTTTGGCAGGGGAAATCAACCATAAACTTCTTCCCCTAGGCAAATGGGGTCCCTGGGGATGAACAGGCCTCTTGCTTTTTTTGTTCCTGCAAAGCTGCATCCCCGGTAGCCCGCATAAGCTACAAACAAATACGCTAATCCTCTCGGGAATCCTCCAGCGCCTCCCTTGCTAGCTGCTGCCTGCACCTGGATCTTTTAACTTGCAGCAGGAAGGGGATGCATCTAGCCGGCCAGGCGCCCAGAGGAGCCTCACCACAGGCCTCCACCCCGCATTCCGCGGCTGAGGGAGATCCAGGCTGCTCTCTAAGCACGAGTGCCCGCCCCACCCCCATCCCCGTTCTGGCGCCCTGCCTGGGCTTTCCGACATCGGTTTTATGATTTATGTTCCACCAAAGCCTTTGAGCCTAATCCGAAAACGAATTAAGTTGGGATGGGGTGAATATGGACAATGAGTGGGGAGCAGCTCTCAGATGTATTCCTCGATGTCCCTCCTTGTCATCCACAGAGATTCCAACAAAGGACGGGCTCAGCCATGGTGGACCCAGTGCCTGAAGAAGAGAAGGCAGGAGCGGAGGCTGGAGACTCAGGCGGGGACGAGGCCGCGGCGTCCGTGCCCCCTGATAACCAGGACGCCCAGCAGCCCTCAGTCTCCTCGGCCTCGGCCTCCGCGGCGGTGCCCCGCAAGGCGGAAGTCCCGTGTGCAGCAGCAGAAGGCGGGCGGCGGGAGCAGTCCCCGCTGCTGCACCTCGACCTCTTCAACTTCGACTGCCCGGAGGCGGAGGGCAGCCGCTACGTGCTGACCAGCCCCCGCTCGCTAGAGGCCTGCGCCCGCTGTGCAGTCAAGCCGGTGGAGCTGCTGCCGCGGGCCCTGGCCGACCTGGTGCGCGAGGCTCCGGGACGCTCCATGCGGGTGGCCACCGGCCTGTACGAGGCCTACGAGGCGGAGCGGCGTGCCAAGCTGCAGCAATGCCGGGCGGAGCGCGAGCGCATCATGCGCGAGGAGAAGCGGCGCCTCTTCACGCCGTTGGGCCCCGCGGCTGCCGCGGCCTCCGCCTCGGCCTCGGCCCCAAGCGCGGGCAGCAGCAGCAGCTGCAGCAGCGCCAGCCTCCCGGCCTCACCTGCGCCGCGTGCGGCCCGCAAGGCTTCCCCCAGTCCCTCCTCGGCCCGGACCCAACCTCCCCCAGCGGGTTCTCGGACAGGCAGGAAAAGCCATTCGTTGGATTCGCTGTCGCGCCGGCGTGAGGGCGCCCTCAGCTCCGAGTCGGGCGCATCGTCGTCCTCCTACAGTGGGGAAAGCCTGCGGGAGTTGCGCTGGCCGCCGCGGGCCTCGGCCAGGAACAGCTGCCCGGCGGGGTCGGCGTCCTCTAACACCAACGCTCCGGGCCGCCCGTCCGCCCTGACCCTGGTTCCCATCACCGGCCGCAGCTTCAGCCTCGGCGACCTGAGCCACTCGCCGCAGACCGCTCAGCACGTGGAGCGCATCGTGCGCCAAGTGCGCGCCGAGCGCGGCCTGCGCGGGGTGCCGGAGCGTGATCGGAAGATCGCGGCGCTCATGCTGGCGCGGCACCAGGAGGAGCTTCTGCTGCTGGAGCAGCGCGCCGCGGCCCACGGCCAGTGGGAGCTGCAGCGCATGCGCGCCGAGCAGCGGCGGGAGCGCGAGGAGCGGGAGAAGCAGCGCGCCCTGGAGCAGGGCCGCCGAGCCTGGGTCGCGCAGGTGGAGGAGCGGCGAGGCCGCCGTGGCCGCGAAGAGCGCGAGGCGGCGCGGCGGCGGCAGCGACAGTACGAGCGCAGCGAGGAGCGGCGGCGGGAGCTGGCCGAGCGCCAGGGCCTACTGCGGCGGGAGCGGGCGGAGCGCGCAGCCCGGGAGGATCGGTTGCGCAAGCTTCAGCAGGAGCAGAACCTGAAGCAGCGGGAGGAAGGCCTGCAGGAAGGGCGGGAGCGGGCCGAACAGATCCGCAGGGAGCGCGCCCAGCGCGCGGCTCGCGCCAAGCAGCGCCAGGAGGGCCAGCTGCAGCGGGAGAAGCGGGAGCTGAGCCGTGCGGAGCGGGCGCGCCACGAGGCGCTGCTGCAGGGCCGGGCGCGGCAGCAGCGCCAGGAGCGAGAGGGCCTGCGGAGCTCGCTGGAAGCCAGCTTGGGCCGTGCGCAGGAGAACTACGAGCATTTGGTGGAGCAGCGCACGCGAGAGCTGCGGGAGCGGGCCCGGCGAGAGGAGCTGCAGGGTCGGCGGGCCAAGGAGGCGGCAGAGCGCAAAGAGCGGGAGCATCAGGCCCACCTGGAGGCGCTGGCCCGGGCAGGGGAGCGACGGCTGCAGCACGCAACGCAGGTGGCCGAGGAAGCAGTACAGCAGAAGGCGCGGCGCGTGGGCCAGAGCCGGATGGAGAAGGAACGAGCCCAACGCGCCAACAAGGAGAAGGTGGAGAGGGACGAAGACTGCCGCCGGCGAGAGCTGCTCCAGGCCATCGGGCGCAAGCTGGAGCGAAGCGAGCAGCTGTCGCGGGAACGGCGCAGTGCGCTGGAGAGCGCCCGCTCCACAGCCCGGGCCTCCTTCCACGTTCGCGAGAAGGTGCGCGAGGAGACCAACACGCGCTCCTTCGACCGCATGGTGCGGGAGGCCCAGCTACACGCCAGCCTGGACCGCAAATAACTGCGGGTCTTCGCCAGCCAGATTGGCACGCACAGCCCCGTGAGGCTTCCCTCAACCACTTTGACGATCGTGGGAAACCCTATTCGGTGCGCAGCGCCGTGGCCTCTCGAGGCTTCTGACCAACGAGGCAACAACAGTACAGACTTGTGGGACCTGTCAGCCGGCCCCCTTTGTTTTTAAAACTTAGTTGATTTGGGGATGACAGCACAATCTGCCCACATCCATCCTTGGTGGCTCCTGCACCGGCCCTTGCCAAACTTCCTTATGTATCTCTTGGGTTGGAATAGAGAAGCTGGGGGGAAAGGGAGTGCTCGGAACCGGGGAGAGGCCCCCCAGGAGAGGGCAGAGGTGGTTGTCCCCACCCCTTCTGCAGCAATTGCCCCAGGCACCTTTCTGACATTGGCGTTTGAGACAGAGTTGCCGCTGCTGAGGGACCATCACCCTGGCTCACCTCCATCTTTCAAAATATGGCAAGCTGCACAAAGCTCGGAGGGCTCCCAGAAAAGCACAGTTCCTCCAAGGTGTCAAGCCATGGCCAAATGATCCAAAAAGCATTTGATTTTTTAGGCCTGACTTTTAATCGACCACCTGAGCAAATTCTCCTCAGTTTTGATAGTTTTCCAATTCAGCCCCTTGGGTTTTCTAGTTAGACAATCATCTGCAGATAATGTTCAATTATTCTTTGCCCAGTCTCTCCTTATTCTACCAAGTAGCACAGGAAATTGGTTGTTTTGGTGATGCTGTTTAGCTTTAATAGAAGCCTCCAGCCCCTGGAGGGGGCGGGTTTCTTTGGCAACAGCGTTCCATCCCATTAAGCTTTCTTACAGGGTGGGGCCCACTCCATGAAGACAGCAGCCATGCCTTAAGAAGCAGAGCTACCCTGTGTGCCTCCCCAGGCCGTTCCTGCCTAAATCTCCAGCCCTGCATGCAGTCTTAAGGGTGGGCCCCAGAGAGTTTGGAGTGTAGGATTCCCTCTGTGAAGGAATCATCTCTACTGCTCTGTGGACAATTAGGGTATCCTTGGCTGCTTTACTATGGTGGCCTAAGAGTTGGAATTGCCTCTTTGTTGAGAGTTGCGTTCACTGTCGATGACCCGTGTACCTTCTCCACCTGTCCCCAGGAAAAAGTCTCCCTCTTAAATTTTCTGGTAGCCCCTCACCTATGCCTGAAAGTATTTCACCCTCTCAATACCTCACCTTTCCCATTCGCCAGATGGGACCATCAGTATTCTTCTCCTGGTACCACAAGGCCTGGATCCAAAGCACCATGTCAGTATTATTTGTTGGTCCTTTTTGTGCCTTTCTTGACCTGGAAGTGAGGAGGCAGGAGGATTGCTGTCAGCCTAGTTTCTTTCTGAGAATATGGATTCCTAGTGTTGGAAGGGGCAGTGCATCATGGACAGATGGTCATTTAGCTTCTGGGGTGAAGTAGTTGCAATACCAGGTGACTCCCTGGCCCAAAAGGTCAAATTCAGTTGTCATTAGGCAATTTTAACTTTTAGAGTGCTTCCCTTCCATGAAGCTGACACCGCCCCCCTGCCATATCCACCCATTGACTGTCTTCATCAGGGAAGGTGGGAAGTAAAACATCACTTTTTACATTAAACCAGGATCAGGAATAAAAAGTTACCAAAAAAAAAAAAAAAAAAGAAGAAGGAATCAGGGTAGAGAACTACTGCATTAAACATATTTCATATATATTCTGCTGGGTAAAATTGTCCCTGAAATGGCTGATTATTACACACACATACATACACACACACACTTTGTCAACCCTTCACCTCCACCCCATCACATGCCAACAAGTATAAAAGGTATATTGTGTAGAAGGAAGTTGTGTGTTAGGCTTAAGATGTCATGAAACAAGGAAAGGAGCTGTGTACTGAGGCTTATTTCTTGAATGGGCGAATTTTTTCCTTAAATTTTCTTGTTAGTAGCCAGGTTGTCAGTGAGTTGAAATAATTGGTATTATCCATGAATCAGAAGCATTTAACTAAAAGGTTAATGTGATTCTGGTTCTTACCTTGTGGTTCTTGAGTTGGTAAAGTGCTTTTGAAACCTCCATAGAAAATTCCACTTTAAAACTGCCTACTTCCAAAGTATGTGCATTCCTTGGAGGTGAAAATCTGATTTTTCAGATAAGGCACTGAAAGGAACATAGGTGATCTTGCCTGGACCTTTACTCAGTTTGTTTTCTGGCTTACTGAGTGACTTTGGGTAGATTGCTTCTCTGTGCCTTGGTTTCCCTAACCTGTAGAATGGGGATCATGATTTCTTCCCTCTGTTACACAAACACTGTGAGGATGAATCAGAATCCAGATGAGTTCCCCAGTTCTACAACTCTGGAACTGAAGGTGCAATTGCTATAAACAGGAAGGATCATGTAACTGTACTGTGGTTAGAGTGTGTGATGTACTGTCATGACCTTGTGAAGAAAGTAGTCTTGAAAAGCACAAATTATAGTATGTCGTGTGTGGCAAAGGCCCAGGCCTGAATCTCACCAAATTAGAAGTTTTCACTTAGAGGGAAGCACTGTGTAAAGACAAAACCTTTTAGATTCTTCCAAAAACAAAAACCCATATAGCCAAGTAGAATTAAAGCAAAAACAGTGCTGGGTTATGGTGGTACATGCCTGTAATCCCAGCATTTTGGGAGTCCAAGGTGGAAGGTTCACTTGCGTCCAGGAGTTTGAGATCAGCCTGGGCAACATAGCAAGACCCTGTTTCTACAAAAAAAAAAAAAAAAAAAAAAAAAAAGCAAAAACAGAAGCCAAACCTAGTGACAATAAAGAATGTTCCACACCATCTGCTAGAGTATAGACCTACCTCTATATTCTAGGATAAATATCCATATTGCTTTCTGAGGAGAAGCAATTTCCAGAATTGTTGTTGGGCCCCTTATTTATATCCTTTTCTTGAAGCAATGCCAGAGAGAAGAGGTTGTTTCCTGTTCTGAAATGCAACAAGAGAACATTGGAGGGAGACAAGGATGGTGGGTGGAAAATGGCTCCTGAAGTACATTTTTCTGGGTGGAATTGTCCCTAAATGATATTCTAACAAGTACCCAGAATTTGCCTTAGAGCACTATGCTGGTTGTGTTCCTATCACCCGGGGGATTGCAGCCTTAAAGTGACCACAGACCTTCACGTTTGTCCTCTTGGAACATTCCCTTGTTCTAGAAAACAGAGAATGTGAAATGAGATGAGGAGGGATGGGAGGGTTGGAAGAAGCTTAGGTTTAGTTCATCACCGTGGAAGCAGCAAGGACAAAACCATTTCAGATGAAACAATCAATGAAGCTTAGTCCAGTGTCCTGCTCAGGCAGTGACCAGTGCCTACACCGTATCTAGACAGGATGATGGAATATTCTTTTTGGAAGCATGCAGACTGTGACTCTCCAATGAAGGCAGAAATCAGGATTTGCTAAAAGCAAAGACTGTGGGATAGTGAAGATATATGAGAATGTAGCCTGTGTTCAGGCTATTCTATAAAGACCATCACTTACCATTTCTTCACCTTTACAAAGTCCATTGAAATAGAGAGGTGACTCTACATAAAAGGCTGTATCTTGTTTAGCATAGAATCCCCTATAGCCAACGATTTTACATCTCACATGTGGTAAGTGCATAGATACTGGATGGAGAGAAGGACGGAGGAATGGATGAACAAATGAATGATAACCAGAGGAAATGTGTATAGGCCAGGAAGGTGGGACTCCATTCATTCAACACATTTTCAGTGAGCACCTGCTATGTGCCAGGCACGGCTCCTGGTGCTGCGGAAACAGTCTCTCTGATCATTGACCCTGGAGATCACATATGTTCATGAGCAGACAACATCTTTGTTTCCATGTTGAGTTTAAAGACCTTCTCATCTGAGTATTCACCTGCAGGCAGACCTGATGTAGGCACTAACTTCAAACATTTTCAGCTTTCTCAGGACAAGTTATCCACCTTTCAATCATCATTTAGTCACTGTTGCTCTCTTTCCCTTGGAGAAGCCTTGATTAATCAGATCAAATTCATGCCATGCACTTAATCAGCTTTAAATCTCAGTAAGCAAAGAGAGAGAGAAACTAAGAGAGAGAGAGAGAGATGAATCACCTTCAAGGGCATTGCCTGTCATGCCTTTAAGAGAGGCAGCATAAATAATGATCTTCGACCTGGAGAACCGAGCCTTAGGCTGTGCAGAGTCCTAATTCACCAAACATCATTTGGTGCCATCTCTGTCATCTGACTATTCTTGCTGAGACAAGGCAGTCAACATTGCAGAACCATGTCCAGTTTAAAAACCTCAGCAAAAAGAAGTGTCTGGTCAATACTGAATCCATAAAAAGATGTAGTAAACCAGAATATCCCACTGCTTAAGCCTTCCAGGTAACTGAGCCCAAAGGTTGCTCTGTAGACTTTCCTTTTCTCTACTGTATGACCACATCTCCACCCAGTGAAACATTTGTCAGAGGAACATAAAGAAACTTGGTATTTCTTCACTAAGCCTGCAAAGGGGCTTTCAGGCACCCAGGAGCAGAAAACTCTCAGTTCTAGAGACATTATTTAGGCCTTATATGTGGCACATTCAGCCTTGGGTGTTTGGCATAGCACCTGAATATTATACCTGATCACATGCTTTGGTTATGTGTGTTTTTAGACAAGAGCAGCTCATCAAGTCATATGTGCTCTGTTATACAGAGTTCCCTGGCATCTCTCTCTACATGCACCTCCTCCCAACCCCATGGATATTCTCAACAAGCCCCCAGCCCTTCATTTCTATCCCTGGTGCTGTTTTGGTTTCCAATAGGTCAGGACTGTGGCAGACGGTAGAGTTCTTGCCCAGTTTTCAATGCTGCCTCTCTTGAAGTCGTGGCAGGCAATACCCTTGATGGTGATTTCTTTCTCTCTCTCTCTCTCCCTCTTCCCCTCTCTTCTCTCTCCTCTTTCTCCTCTTTCTCTATTTTTTTTTACTGTAGCAGATGTTAGGATATGGAATGTGGGATAGTTTCTTTCAGAAAAACACTGATAATATCACCATTTGCAGTGTTATTACTTCCCAGTCCTGTCTCAGATGAGCACAAAAACATGGTCCAAAATGATTTTTAAATTAGCTGTCATTTTGAAGTGTTCATGCCTTTCTTCTGCTCCACTAGTACAGTCTTTTGTTTGTTTGTTTGTTTGCTTGTTTTGTTTTGATTTTGAGACTGTCTTGCTCTATCGCCCAGGCTGGAATGCGGTGGTGCCATCTCAGCTCATTGCAACATCTGCCTCCTGGATTCAAGTGGTTCTCATGCCTCAGCCTCTCAAGTGGCTGGAATTACAGGTGAATGCCACCACACCCAGCTAAATTTGTATTTTTAGTAGAGATGGGGTTTTACCATGTTAACCAGGCTGGGCTCGAACTCCTGGCCTCAAGTTATCCACCCGCCACAGCCTCCCATTGTGCTGGGACTACAGGCATGAGCCATGGCGCCCAGCCCTCCATTAGTACAATATTGATGGCATGTTTTTGTGTCAGAATCTTAAACAATTCACAGGACTATCTTGTGAATGATCCATATCTTCTGTGTTTGAGTACATATGTGCAAGCGTGCATGCACGCACACACACACACACACACACACACACACACACACACACACGCACTCGCCTGCCCCTACTGCTTCCAGCCTTGGTGTTCTTGCAAAGGGAGGAACTATAGCCATCTTATTCTTCCAGGGAAGCCTAAGCTCTGGGAAGGCTGAGCTGCCCCTTGTAAGGGTCCATTGTTTCCACCTGCCTCCAGCCCCAAGGCTGCTTCAGGCTGTGGCTTGTGAGCATGGTGTCTGCATCTCCCAAATCCATCATCGAGCCTCATGGTGACAAAGCGTTTTCATGCTGCCACTACACTTCTCCTTCCCAGTGCATTCTCTCACTGGGTGTCAGAGATTTACTGGGAAAAGGAATTTAGATGTCAAAATGCCAACATTCGGGAACAAAGTATAACAGAATGACTGACATCCACCAAGTTCTGGAAATCTAGTCCCTGTGGTTATCACAACTTAAGGCAAAGAGTTTGGCAAAGGAGCAAGTGTCTTGACTTATTCAGGCTACTTTCAACTCATCCGTCTTGTCCTCTGTGAAATGGAGACAATAGATCCTATTTGGTAGGGAATTGTTAAATCAGTTAGTTCTTGGAAAGCAGTTAGCACAATCCCTGGCAGATAGCACTCAATTTATAGAAACTGTTATTCTAAATTTGGGAAGATGGTAAAGGAGGGAATGGGGTAGATTGAGCTTAAGCCACGTGGTCCTGGTGGACACCAGGCTTGAATGTCTTTGCTGCGCGGCAATCTTCCAAACATTCCAAAGGAGGGGCTCTGAAAAAATGGTTCCCCTGGTAATATATGGTAGTCCTGAAGTTGTGGGGGTGTGGGGAGGTAGGGATTTACTTGTTTACCCATTTACCTTGTTTGGCAATAAAATTAACATCTGATGATAATTTTGGAAATTTTATTTTGAGACTTCTTATATGATGAGTAAAATGACAGAATGCTTTAAAATTTGTATATCTTTCTAGGGTAAAAGAGGGTGTGCTTCTGTCCTGACAATGCCCAAATTCTATGATAGCATCTTTAGCAGGACCAAGTAGGAGAGGTTGTGGAAGAACCACTGTTCTGTGGGGACCTGGTACTACAGGGTGTGGTGGTGCCTGGCAGGAATTCTGGGCTGTAGAGCCATCTTCTGCTATGGCCACACAGGAATGAGGAAGAGGGTCTGGGACAAGCCCAACCTGGGAGAGTGCTGATGGGCTCCTTGTAGGGGTCCTGTTGGAGCAGGAAGGAGGGAGCTGGCTGTGCCTTAGCATCACTTCATCCTCAACTAATGACTTTCCCTGAGAAGCCTCAGCTAATGTCCTCAGTCTCCCTTCCTGGCCCTCTGGACCAGTTGACAACTGCATGGAGGCCAGCTTCAGGCCTGGGTTTGTAGATGTCTATTCTCCTCTGTGGACATACAGCAATGCACAGAGGTGCGAAACAGGT